TGATAAAATAAGGACCGTTAGATATCTCCCAATCATGTGGTCTAGATCTTGGTTCAGTATTAGTAGATCGACCTCCCAAAACCCACAACGTGCATGATAGTCCAGATGCGTTTAATTAATTTAATCAACTGAATGAAGATATGAAGGACATGACGATGATGTAGTCGGTACGGGTATGGGTGGGTACTACTAGCGCATGGATCTAAACTTAGTAGCAGTAGTAATATAAGTAGTTATATTTATCCCTTGTTGACTGGGCTAGAGCTTCGACGAAAGAAACCAGAGGCGGTTGTTCGAGTTCCCGTTAAACTATTGAGATCGGGGGTTTAGAAACACAAAAACGAGCGGGGAAGGAGGGGAGATAATAGCTTCTTTGGGGAAATCATCCGACCCATGCATGACTGCTGGTATCTTTCATAGTGGTGTGATATTGATTGATTGAGCGCCCCCAACGAGCGAAGTACACTGGGCAACTTCACAGAGTGTAAACTCAATCGATCGCAGTTAGATGCAACCGTGCCCAGTCAGTATATTGATTCGATAGATAGTGGGTGTTCGGAAGGAATCCAGAGGACCCAATAGTGTCATCCCTCTAGGTGCATTCTTGGAACATACTATAATCAATAGTGCGACAGTGCGCTCATTAATATATCTATGAAAATCGTCAGACATACCTTTGAGGAGTTTTTCTTTTGGAAAAAAAAAGGAAAAGGAAAAGGAAAAGGAAAAGGAAAGAAAAGAAAAAGCAAAGAATTTCTCAGCCCGAGGGAGAGGATCGTGAATGACGACAATGGTGCCACCCACCCACGGCTATGCCCGAGATCTTGAGCAAGGGAGAGCGGGGAGCGTGGTACGGTACCATGGAACAAATCTCTCAGGTACAAGGGGGTTAATGTAATATAAAAACTTTTCTTAGTAGTTTCCTCCCCCTTTTCTTTTCAATAGGCCATTCGTATGTCGATTCTGTGTTTTACCCTTTGACTTCAACACCGTTTACCGTATGACAAAGAATTTGAATTTTCATGCTCTTGCAGGAGGGGAATCTCACCATGGCTGCAGCCAGGTTTTAGATGCTTGTGCCGCGTTGACAAATGGGCGGTCGGATCGCTTCCTACTGTGATTTGTACAATACAGGCTTTATTTTTATTTTTCTAATTCTTTTCTCTTCAGAGTGGGGGGCAACTAGCTGCAGGATGCAGATGGGTGTGTGAGGATGTTAGTAGTTTATGTGTCCTGTTGATGTGCGATCCGGTTTCCCCACTCTGATCGTTGCCAGATCTGGGTCAAGCACAGAGACACCAATTCAGGTTGTCTTGCTTCCCTTTGCCTTTTTTCTTTTTCTTTTTCTTTTTTTTTTTTTTTTTTCCTGTCTTCATAGCCCGCGACCAGTATTTGTTCTTAGTGCTATCGTGCACTAGAAACACCGGGGAACAAGGATTAGGCGTCGTACATGATATGCATGGCATTGTCTAGTGTTTGAGAAGAAAAAAGCAACGAAAGCCTCAAATCTCCTACTAGTAGCATTATGCATATCTACGCTAGATCTAGATCTTATCATTGATCATTCTTGCTTTGTTTGCCTTAAAATGGGTTGCCTGGATCGCAAATGTATTACTGTACGTATGCCCATATATCGTGAATACATATATATACCTACTCAGCTAAAGGGATCGAAAACTTGCCTGTAAAAAAGGACACATTCCCATTTACGTATTTGTTGGCTCGCTCAGGGAACATGTTCCATACGCTCCATGTACCAGCTGGTACACTGCAGTCACTACCTTCAAATATTCCACGGGTAGATACCAGCTGCCATTATAGAGATAATAGATAATTTTGTCGGTTAGGATCATAGACTAGCTGAACTGCCCGTAACAGACATACATAAGAACGGTGTAAGGTTGTTCTGTAGGTAGTCTGTTCTTTTAATCGAAGTTAGAGGAAATAGAAGAGAAAGAAAATAATAATTAATAATCATCATAATTAAAATTATAACTCTGCTTTTCGATCATCTGTGGGCTTGGGATCTGGCAACATTAGTCATTCCTGTTTTATTAGTCTCCTTCCCTCCTCCTTCTTTCGTCTTTTCTTTTAATTAAAGTCGCCCGGCCGTTCCCCTAATTTATGTAGTGTGCGATCTATGGATCTCGATGCTTCCTCTTGCCCCATCACCTTCAGTGATAGGGACCACTTATCATACTATTTCGCTCCAACCCCCCAACTATCTGAGTGGTTGACCACCCCTCTTTCCTTTTCCTCTCGGGCACTAAACGCCTACACCGTACTACTACGGAGCACTTTAGTAAGTCTGTACATTAATAAGTAGTTGTATTAGTTATCCAATTTAATTTTATTACCTATTCCTGAGGCTCTCCCCTCCCCCCCCTGTGGCTGAAGGCGAAGAGCTAATCAATCTATTAGGTGGTAACCCGCCAAGCTGGATCTTACCTGACTTAGTATGTGATATCGGCCCCAACATGGGGATGTACCTAACTCTGCCGTGTTGTGTACTTCTCTGAATTGTGTTACTAATAGGGATGCGTTACTTTCAGATCCATTCAGTGAGGTGTTTCATTAATGTGACAAAACGGAGAGAACATGGCTCTTAACTTTCTCGAAAATCTTTTCTTTTTCTTTTTCTTTTTCTTTTCCCCAAAGAAAAGGGGAGAGAAAAGAAAAAGAATTTACTTACATTATCAAGGTGTCATACTCCTGTACATACATATATTAAAATGGTATTTCTGTATTGTTATTTACGTATCGCGTATGAAATACAGAGGAGAGGGGGGGAGGGAATAAATAAAAAAGTGGGAAAGTCTGCTAATTACTTGTTCTCTGTTTTTAATATTTGACTTTATTTTATTATTTTATTACTTTCAGTTTTTTTAGTTTTTTTTAGTTTTTATTTTTTGGTCAGGGACAACCACCCCCTGGTAAGGCTCCATCATACCCCACCCAGATATCCGCACATCGCCAATATGATCCCAACTCACTCCACACTTTCGTCGAAGATCCGCAGTTCATGGGCGTAAAGCTTCTGTAATTCGCCGTAACTTTAAACTGGTCACGACGGCAAGTGTGATTCGACGATCTCGGAGTCCCATTTTGGCTTTTCTGGCAGTCTCTTTTTAATTTCCAGGTCTGAGCTCACCTGTCCTGGGCCGACGTTGTTTTCCTTTAGTACCTAGCTCTCGTTCTCTGGACCCTCCTTCCCATATCTCTCGTGAGTCGTGCGGGACTGCTTGGGACTAGTCTGAACGTACTGGAGGTACTGGAGGTCTTTAATAGTTTCCCTTTTTTTTTTTTTAACCCTCTTTTTACTAAGTTATTAGTACAGAGTAATAAAATTAAAATGATTTTTCTTTTTCCCTTTAATGTCTCTTTATTATTTTATCGGTTTGATTTAGTCTATGATCGATCCTGATGATTTATTTTCCTTCTGGCAGCCTTCGATTGCTATAACTTATACTTTTTTTTCTTCTGCCTTTTTTTTTCTCTCACACTTCTCTTTCCCTTGCCGCGAACCTATCGTCCACTCACCCAAACTTACTTCTTAACTCTCACCTTGTCGAAATTCTTACATTCCGAAAATAACAGATCCTCCTTCTCTCCCGAGCTATTGCCTGTCGACCTCCATTACTTCAGTGCATGATACTCACACCCATTCTCTTCTGGTCTCCTTGCTCCATCTCACCACACATTCTGTATCATTCTTGTTGTCTACCATTTGATCACAACGTATACCAAGTGTTTGGTCGGGGACAGAAAGAGAAGAACATCTCGTCTCCCTTCCACGCGACGCACTCATATCTCTTCCTATCCCTTGCGTTTACTGCGCCTCCGCCGGTCGACACCCGCTTCCCAAACTCAAACCACAAGTCGAGTCTATCTGGGGATTCGAAATCTGACTGTTAAATTTGGCTGTGCGAGGTTTGCTTTGGACAGATGATTCTTTCAGACGCAGGAAGGGCCGTTCCGATCTGATCTGTTCGCTGCGCACTACGGGCGCGTGCCGTACTTTTGCTATCGAATTGATTGCATTTGAATAGCGGGTATTCTAATCGCGATCGCATCGCCTGCAGACTACGTGATCTTCCCCAACGCCACTTTGTCTTTTCCTTTCGCAGTTTGGAGGTCCCAATCATCGAGTCGCTGCACTTTATTTTAACTATTCCTCTCTGGGCCAACTCACGGAGCCGATCGGCGTTTACTTCCTGGGTTCCTCTTACGTCCGCATCTTGCCCGATTTAATCTCTCTTCATTTTCCCTTCCCTCCTCTCTCCCCCCCCCCCACAACCGCCGCCACCAACCCCCCGGACAACTCTGGTTCAAGGGAAAAAGGGTGGCATGATATTTATCTATCTTCCCTTTGATTTAATTGAAATTACGAAGCAAAGAAGAAATTAATCGGGATTTCTAACCAATCTATCAAGTGGTGACGCGCACCTTGGAGGACGGTAATCGCTTATCGGCAAACCGTTGAAGCTGTTATTACTTTTCCATCCCTTCGCCTCTTTAAGCTCGCTGATCTCGGCCGGTCGCTTTCGCCGTTCGGAGTCGCCCACTTTTTTTCCTATTTTGTTCCTTTTATTTAATATTTTTACTTTTATCTTTTCTGTCTCCATACAACACGAGTCGGTACCTATTTCCACGGTACACTTTTTAGATTAGAGCCGAGGCGACTGATGGTGGATGAGGTCAAAGAACGAAATCGCGAAGATATAATTGGAACCACTGGCGTGATGGGGTCATTGGAAGCCGGCCATAGGCACAGGTTCGTACCTTGTTTTCCCGACCTGTAATCGGTCGTCAACGTCTTGGTGTTGCAAGCGTCAGAAATTAGTCAAGGGTACATGTACTAATTTGTATCTTCTCGGACACATAGGGACCATCTACCAGCTCTCAGTTTCATAGGAAAAGACGGATCTGGATATCCCCCCAAACGTCCTGCTGCACCAGGCCATACCACATCACCCGGGTCTCTTCTCAGTCCAACAAGCATGTATTCGGGCCAACCGTTACCATACTCTTACTCAACGTCGTCCGCCAGCGCAGCCTCTGTGCAACCTGGGTATATCTCGCCTCCAGAATTGCGGCGTGCGCTCGAGGAAGAAAAAGAGAAACAACAGCCGCAAAGGCAATCGCTTCCATCCATCCACGAGGCGTTAGGGAATGATAACCCTCTTCCATATCCTGCACCTACATCGGCGGCTCCCCAGCAAGCTCACCATGCACCACATTCGCATCTTTTGTCATCAAACGTTATGGGACGGCCGACCGGCGAAGCACCGTCGGGACCAGCGAATCCATTTTCAAATGGAACATCATCAGGGTCTTTTATGCGGGACTCCGCTTATCCCCCATCCCAGCTACAAGCGGAGGCATCTCGGGCAAGTCTAGCATCGGTCACCACTCAAGATTCGAGAAACCCCTCGATCCAATCGCTCAGTTCGGGAAAGTCGCCCACACAAAGCGCAAAAACAGGGATTACTTCGATCGCAGGCTCGCAGGCCGGATCTGGCTATGAGTACAGTGCTCCTACTTCTGCGGGAAGCATCGCATCTCCCAACGGCTATGGCGCGTTTCCGCAGAACTACTCTTTCCAATCGCAACCCCCGCCTAATGCGCCAACGTACCCGGTTGCGTATGACGCTCGGCCTTACGGTCCTACATGGAAACCAGGCGTACCCGAAACCGCACGTGTGGATGAAATGAAGGCCGGGATTGCGGGTCGTGCTATTGCGGGACAGATCCCGGGCGATTCTGTCAAGCGGCACCTAGAGGTCTACGATGTGGAGACATCGCTAAATGAGGTATGTGGTCTTTATTGCGAAAGGAAAAAAAAAAAAAAAAAAAAAAAGTGGCGCTCGTATGGCCACTGAGTCCAGGTTTCAGTTGGCTAATTTGAGTAGATTGCCGAGATAAGCACCCGCACATTGGAATTTTCTCGACACTACGCTGCCAGGGCGCACCAGACCCAGCGTTCCGGTCCTGTGATAGGATCTCTACCCTCTTTACAGGAAGTGGAGGAGATGCTTAGTGTTCAGCGCCGGAATCATGATGCCCTGCTCCGTATACGAACCGCAGTTGTGAACCAAGAGCATGCATTAGCGGAGCAAATGGCCCAAAGAAAAGCTTTCAAAACCGGTGGGGTCCGTGACGATGACCACATGGCAATGTACCAAGACGAATACAAGGGAAGTGGCGGCTTTGCCGGACCAGATGCGAAGAAGCGACGAGGGGTACGTTTACCCTCCCCCCCTTTTTGTTTTCTTTGGATGGCTAGGTCTTGATGTCCCACTATACTATGATCACTCCGTTAATACACCATTTCCCATTCGCTGTCACTAACACGAGTTATAGAAAGCAGCCCCTCCCGGCCGTTGCCACAGTTGCAACCGAGCTGAGACACCCGAATGGCGCCGTGGTCCAGATGGTGCCCGGACCTTGTGTAACGCATGTGGCTTGCACTACGCCAAGCTAACGCGCAAGATGGGTGCTAAACAGGCATCGTCCTTGGGTTCCAATCTTAAACCTAAGACTCTTGACTCCGCATCTCCAACTGGCCGTTGACATGTTAGCCCTCTTTTTTACCTGGCGTTGAAACAAAAAAGGCTTTGGGATTTAGAAGTGTCCGGCGTTCTGTGCCCTCTTTTCCGCGTTAATCATAAACCTCTTCTGTTGGTGTCATTTCTGATAATTCTCCTTGGACATGATACAGTTCGATTTGATTTGGGCTTCGGGATTTCTTTTCAGGGGCGGTTATGGAATATTCCGAGCATGTTGGACTTTTTATCTTCTTGTCCGATTGGTTGTTGGAGTTTACTTTTTTAATACCCCCTCGCACGTTGTGGGAAAAAGGCATCTGGATAGACTTTCGTTCTGGTTATTGTGACGTTTCTGTGGGACAAGCATGTACACAGTTCTTTCTTCTTTCTTGCCTTGGTTGTTCCCCGGTTTTTTCTTGCTTTTTTGCGACTTTGTTACAATTATACCCCAGTTACCCACCCCCTAACCCTCTGTGATTGTCTTACAACTCCCATACGATGTTGCTCATGCACTCACGTCTCTCCTTGGGAAATTAAGAAGCGCTCTACTTGATGCAGTGATTAATGTAACTCTACTTGAAAAAGTTGATTGGTAGCGGATAAATTTATATGTATGTGAATACAAATCACGCGGGGACATGTCCGATCCCTTGCAGCGTCCATAGCATCATCATACCCCAGCCTATGGGCCGGTGATGGCGGCGAATATCACAGATGGTCTGATCAAGATGGCAATCTCCTACCCGAGGTCTGGATCAAGATGCAAGGTGTATTTTCCAAGTCGGAATTTTCTTCCATAGATCAGCCACTGCCGTCATTCCACAGGATCTCAAGTCTCCGGCGATCGATCGTGTTTGCCCCCTCGTATAAAAATTTCCCTTTTTTGGGTAAATAGAGGCCACTTCTTTGGTCAGGAGTGCACCGTCCCGCTACGAACACTGGGCCACATCTAGGCAGGTATAAGGCCACATGGATCTCGGCACCTCTTGCCGTACGTCATATATTTTCCTCAGGTAAGGCTCTACGGACTATTCTCGGTGGCAAGGGGGGGGGAATTCGTATCTCACGTAAGAGTTCCAACTTTTGCCATCAGATCGAGATAGCCTCTTTCACCCGGGCCATATGTTCGTCCTGCCCAAAACAGTATAGTATATACAATTCACGTAATCACTAAATCAGGCCAGACTCCATGATTTGATTGGCTATATTCCCGCCAAGATGCACTAGAACGGACTAGAACCACCTCACGGGATTGGGTCGAATATGGCATGATCGGCCTCAATCTTTTCTTCTTTTAGCTTTCTTATCGGCTTCCGCGGAAAAGCCGACATGTAGATGGGATGTTGTTGAGAAATTTTAAGGTTGATAGAATTTTCGTTTTTATTTTAGTCCGGACGATATTCATCTTAAAAGGTTTGGCTGGGGGTGATGATTGGTTTAGGTGTGTGTGGTGGTGATTCAAGGGGGCGCAAACGCGACTATCGAAATCGATCGGGATCTGATCTCAATCTCAATCTCATCTCATCTCTCATCTTGCATGAAGACCGCTCCAACCGATCATGGCTTATGTCTTGGACGCCACCAGATAGCGGCCCCGACTATTTCCTGACTCACCGCTGATCTAGTAAAATACATTCAAGGGAATACGCAATGCAATGTTTCCCACGGAGTTGATGGTCTGTTCTCCTGAGGTGGTTTTGCTCTTCTACAATTTGCGGTTTTCAGTTGGTGCAACATTTAATTAGGTTTGCGAGATTGCGATCTCCTTGTTCAATTTGACTCAAGAGAGAAGAAGCAAAGTTTAATTCTTTACAAGATCTTCTGTATGTGTAGTATGCCTTGTTCTTTTATTCAATTTTATATCTTCATGCTTAACCTAGATAGTTGGCTTATATACAGTACGTACATAAGGTCTATCTACTGTACCTTGCTCCATAAATACATTATACAGATACATACTCGGTACATACATACGTCCATCCATTCCATTCATCCATCCATCCGTCCATACATACACATACACAATTCCTTTCATTACAAATTACATATACCTAATACTGTACCCAACCGAATAGGCGTGTACATACATATGTACGCCTTTCTATACATACCGCTACTTTCTGAGGTATACCCATACCCTAATGTAACAACAAGCAACGTCCAGTAATTGGAATTAACCTGCCGTGTACATCCGTGCCTCACTACCCGACATGATTCCAAATCACCTCAATCATGCCACCCTCTAGCCTAGGCGGTACTAGTAGATGTGAATCCTTTCAGCTGAGGAATTTCCATTTTAGGCAACTCGCTGTCCTATCATCAGTCCCTAGGTTGGTTTGGTTTGGTTCCATCCATGGAGCTCCTCCGAGACCCGGTCGGTCGGGTCCCATGCTCTTACTAACCTCCTACTCTATACGTCATATGGACTGTTTTCTGGAATGTTAGGGTTTGTTTTTCTTACCATGCTAATTAGGCCGTAACTTTGTCTACTAATTACTGTGGGGTAGATATAGATATAGGTATTCCTAGTTTTGAGGCCAACTGTCCACACAGCAGTGTTCTGTATCCATAATTAGCTAGCTACTCCCTAAGTATAGCACCCCCCACAAGAACCCTAAAAATGATCCCCTGAGTCCAACTTCAGACTGATTATTTGACCCTTCCAGCGCTAGATCCGCATCGCTCACTGCACCGAGAGACCATTCGCGCGGTGTCTGGTCTAGGGATGAAAAGGAGAGGCCGAATTGACTGGATTGATCGACCATAGTATTGAACATTCGGGCAAGGTAGATCTGCACCACGATGCTTGACTGATAGCCCAATTCAGACAAGCGATCCGGGCGGCACCAGTTCTAAATGGCAAGAAAAAAAAAGATGTGGGGTATACAAATGCACTTCCTTGACCGACCTCTGCTGAACCCATTGTGGCTGTGTACTTGCGACACGCGTATAATGCGTGTGTACATGCATGGCGTGTACTGCACTCCAGTGCAACTCACGGTACTTCAATCGACGAAGTTCGTTAGTTAGGTGAATTATAGGTCAGGGTGGCCCAACGATTTCGCATCACAAGATTTGATTGACTGGGCTTACTAGCCGGTATTCAAACTACCGGACTGGGTCCAGCGGGAACATCCCCAAGGTTTAGTTGTAACTCGTGGTTTATTCGAAAAATTTTTTTTAGTGGGGGTAGGGGGGTGAGATTCAGTCCCCACCGCATCCCAGATATGCAGAAAGGCAGATACAATGAGATACAATGAGGTGACTCTTTAGGTATCCTTCAACCTTTGTGCGCTTACCTCTCTCTCTTTTTTTTTCTTTTTTTTTTTTCCTGCACCTTTCTCATCTTGCTAGGGGTCGGGCTCCTCGGGGAGGAAAAGGACCCGTTATAGGGGAGTTGTAGATCTATCTACGTTGGTTTCAGACCGTCTTTGGTTGGTTTGGTTCTGGCTCCCATGTTTGGGGTCATCTTGATTTGAGAAAGAGATATTTGGGGAATCGGGAAGTTTCCGGTCTCTGTGTGTTGTTTTCGATGACCTTTTTGTTGCACTACCTAGAGGTGTGGACAATTGTTTGTACGTATTTCTGTATGTATATACATACGGCAAGAAGTTCAGCCCAATTCGACTTGTTATGGAAGTTGACCTAGCCTGCGGTGCTACATCCATGGCTAGTCAGTTTCACTCGATCAGTTCTGTTTTAAAGACGAACGCAAGCTAGTAACAAAAACATACATATGCTGTGGGACAGGAATGGAACACGGGAGCTGAGAATCATGGGAAAGTCCGACAGCTTATCCATGGCCTGCGTATCAGATTGGCAGGGATGGTTGTTACACGGGCTCAGGCGGTTGGATATTATTTATGCATCTACTTCTATCTTACGTCTGGTAGGTCGGTTTATAGAGGATGTAAAAGGAATTTTACAGACCAAGTGTATCTTTCTTTGTCTTTTTCTTTTTTAAGGCAAAGGTCTGTACCTGTATGAATGTACATATTCCGGAGCACTCCGATGATGTATGTATGTGTATGAAAAAAGAAAGCGCTCCAAAGGTCCCATAAAAATAGCCCCAAACTATTCAAGTTGAACTCAAACTTAGCTCCGGAATGACCGGGAGACCGCAAATAATCCCTGCGATAATCAGACCGGACTATATAATACACACCCCTGAGAAAGAAAAAAAAATTGGGGTCCCTAAGATGAGACACGACCCGAACACGAGGAGATTTTCTTATTTAGCAAAATAGAAATTTTTGCTGAATGGTTCGAAGAGTCTGCATACAGCACAGGCGCCTCCTAGTGCAGAGTCATATGTATGAGTTAAATGGAGTGTACTATAAATTAATGGAATTTGATAGGGCCGAGGGAAATAACAACTTCGAAATTAACCTTAGGTACGGGAAGTATATGGAAACTATTAGGACACTATTCCGGTCTAGATAATTTGAAGCTACCATAAATTCCTCAACGAGATAATATATGCGAGGATTCTATCTTTTAATTCCCGTGTCAATAATATTGACGAGGCCTCTATTTGGAATTCAAGAGATACGTTCTGACTATTCCATCGGCCGCATACCAGCGAAGAAACACCGAGACCAGGCATAAGGCGATCCGAATGCATTTGAACGACGACCCCTGATTCACTCGTTCACTCCACCGGCAAATCCCGGGCCACATACGTAAAATGGACGGGGCGACGCTGGGAAATTTTTCACACCAATAATGGAGCATGCGACCATCGTGAACTAGATGGACTAGATCTAGGTCCATGGCTTTTTGGGTCCAAAGCGCTGCTTGGATCGGTGCCAAGTGGAGCAGCCCAAGGCGGCTGTTTATCGTTCTTTGGGTGGAAGTCAAAGCCGCGATCGCCGGGTGAGAGATCTCCATTATCGGAATCAGATCGTTATGGGTCCTTGAAGCTTGGGGTGGACTTTTTTTTTTTTTTTTTTTTGGCTTCTAAGTTCCAAGAGCAAAATCGAAAAGGTGATAGGTAAAATTTCTAAGGAACAATGAAAAATCCAGTTGCTGTACGGTGGAATTGTTTTTTCTTTTTTTATTTGCCTTCGCATATTGGAACTTGGAATTCTATTGGCTCTGTGAAGGATCCGAGTGTTTGCATAGTGCTTCAAGATCCACTCACTAGAGATCGTTGAGTGTTTAGCTTCGATCACTAGTTCAAGATCTCTACCACCTTCTCTTATTTTATTTTTGTTTTTATATTTATTTCTTTTTTCTTTTTCTTTATTTGCTCGGTTTCGCTAGGGTTCGGTAAGCGATCCTGTCTTCGTTGCCGAAGAGGCAGAGAGGCATTTATTAACAAAGAGAGAGAGAGAGATAATAGGACTTCCCCAAGCTTTCGGTACACTCTCTCACATTGGATTGGGAACGCCCTGTCGGTGAAGGGAGCTCGTCCTGATACGCAAGGGATACATTGACAGCTGTCATTGATAAGACCTGTCAATTTCACCCGAAAACGGTGGCGCTCGAGGCAGCCGAAAGGCAGCGGCATCACAACATTGTAATAATAAATGTACACATACGAACATATAATACCGGACAGTAACCCGGAAGGTATTGAGGTCTTGACCATCGAATGCCCCCTTTAGGATATCGCAAGGGGAAGAAACAGAAATAATATACATATGCAATCGACACGTATCTTGCATATCATAATCAGTTCTAAATGTCAGCTGCAAGAGAGGTGTGTGGCTATGCCGCGAATCTGCATGCATATCAAAATCCTGGAGTTTTTCATGTCCTGGAAAGGGAAAGCTGACACCTGCGAGCCCCCGGTGCCCTTGCATTAGATTGCCGGGATAGGCGGTCGTTCCGAGAGATCGGTTCAATGTGCAATTTACAATAGGTTCTTATATGCATATGGATAGTGAGGCGTGGTCCTGTGATATAGTCTTCATAGACTCCTTAAGTCGTTTACATATCACCGTTGACATAATTTGCAGGACCGGAGGACAGATGCACCATCAAGATTCGCTCGCTCGGACCGTTGACTGTCAGAATTGCATTGCGGGGATCTCATACTCTTCCCAGACAAAATCCTTTATCAGTATATTAGGTCTGGTATCATATCCCCAGCCTCACTCTCATACTCCATCCTGTGTCTGCAAGGAGAGTTGTTATTTCGATATTACACAATAGGCAGGGAATAGACAAGAAACCAAGCTAACGAAGCTTCTTAGATTGGAAAGCCGAGTTCGCATATAATTTGATATGCAATTTATCCCTGATTGAAAAGCTCCTGGAGAATTTGATGGAATAATTCGCTCAATTGGGCAATCGCTGCTAGGATGACAGCGTTGCGACGTTAGTCTTGCGGTGTGCCGTCTCCTGCGAAGGAGTTCGGGACGAACTAAGAGAGCCTCCTGTGATGGGTGGGATTTGACCCCATGTGATCTTTCTAGCCTAGAGACTCGGGCAAACCATACTGAGCAAAGAGGATGGGGACAAGGTCCATCCCGTCGACAATTTTCAGCTACCGGAAGCTTACGTTCGGCCAAAGTCTCTGAGTAGACGCCTCTCAAGGCATACCTCTCGCCTCGTGGCTCTCGGGCATCTGCGATGGTTGTTCGGGGCGCGAAATAATAGCAAGGGCACCATGCCGAACAGAAATATGATCCAGAAGCTTACCATAGACACTTTCAGAGTTTCCAATATCGCCAGCCCGAGTCAGCTCAGTGACCGACTAAGAAGTATCATAACTAGGGCAGCGAAGTGTCAGGAATTTGGTACTGTGAAAATACTGGCGGTTTGTATGAAATTCACAGCGATATTCGGGGCATCGAAAACAAGCAGTATGGACGATCACGCAATCTTAGTGGAAAGCCGAAGTACAGAGACACCAATCATTCCATAACAGATCAGGCATGCGATACGCTCAACGTTAGAGCTAGTTATATTAGATGTACTGTACACTTTTTTTCAGGAGAAGCTAAAGGAGTCATCACTTCTGCCACCAACATGGATTTCAGTACGACTGAAGAATCTCAATCCGTTGAGCTGACGGAGGAGCAATCTGTATTTAGGGGACCTCTAGAAAATAACGAAAAGACATAAGCGTAGTTAGGAGGATAAGTCTTGATATATAGATGGTAAATTTAGCTACTGTGGTTTTGGGAGTAATGTCTTGGTGAATGGCCGGTGATTGCCGGTATTAGTACTTTCTATTCCCAATTTCGGTGGCTTAGTGTATTGACACTTCCCTATTCCTAGCATAGTGCTTCCATTAAGGATGTATAGTCCCAAATCCTAGATTTCAACATATCCCTCAGATGACTCCCCTAAACCTTTATTTACCCATATCGAGCCTAATATCTCCTGATTGAAAACAGATCCCAACCCAAAATTTGCATACGTTCCTGCTAAATACAAACGTTCCCATCAGAAAGCCCAGAGTCCATTCCCAACCCTGTCCCATAGGGCCTCCCCTATTTTTGAGGCCCTGTATTTCCTTTAATTTGCCACTTCTTTTACCCAATCAGTTTATTACATTAGCACAGGATTCATCATTCGGCAAGGCTCGAAAATATATATTCAATGATCTGTCTGGCGATGAATTGGCTTTCATATGACAAATATCATCCCAATTCAAGATAATTATTTCAATTAATTAAATTGTGTTAGCTTAGGATTCGTTAGAGCTCAAAGATATATCCTATAACCTGTCTGTATAGGTAAAGATTATACATAAACTGGATAGGTCTAGAAATAATTTACTAGCTGCCACCACTACAGAGCATAGCCTCTTCCTAATCCCTGTTGTAATGAGGATAATCAGGGCAGGCTAGCTCAACACCTGAGGTACCGCCATACCGGAGCAGTAAGCCAAGTCTATATTACCAGTGGAATGACAGCCCTCTACCTATCTAGATTCCTAGCCTACCACTACTAGCAATCACATGATAACAATTATAATTTTAATGTCACGGTGTGACCTCTGGGTGCATTCGGAATCTTAACCGCTGCGTTATCAGCAAGAGGCTAGGATACAAAGCCTTTGGCTTTGTACTGGACTCACATATATAATTCAGGCAGGCAGGTAGGTGTTGTCACGGATTGAGGTTTAGGCAATCAGTGAATGAGCGGTAGTCATGTAAACTTTGTCCATAAGGGCAACACAATAGCTTCATGTTTTCTTTTCTTTTCCTCTCTTTAGTTTAGTCTCTTGGTGATAGACTACCTAATCAACTATTGATTCAGCTGAGTCCCTTACAGGTGTGCCCGCAGGCACACCGTGACATTTAATTTATAAATAATGCGTGAATCAACTAAAGTACATTAGTTCAGAATTTGTTAAGGTTTAAAGATATATCCTTTATTCTATCTATATAATGTCAAGGATTGCCCCTGGGATTAGCAATTCAATACATAAGTGTCAAGGGAGCCTACTATTCAGGGAAGAGGATCTGTCAACTAGGTAAGGATACTCAGGCCAAAGGAGTAGAAGGATCAAAGGCAGAAAGTAAATGCTATTCAGACAGGAGACTGATTCTTGACCTCCTCCTCCTCCTCCTCCTCCTCCTCCTACTACTACTACTACTAACGATTCGCTAATTTATAGTTGAAGGCTCTGCGCCTAAAGGATGCAGAATCCCTATTGGAAACCAAACCATTGTATGGCCTGATGTTCCTCATCGGTGGCCGATTGTCCATGCACCTGGGTCAAGGTATCCTGTACGGTCATCAGTCCGAATCGCTATCCGATCTGTGACAATAAGCCTTTCTACTAGGTGAAAAGACCTACTATAATCAACTCCGAGCAGAGTTGATTTCCCAGTCGCAGTATATATAGTATTGCAACATGCTATAGTGGCCTTAAGTCTAAAGGCTTACCCGTGACATATAGATAAAGATCATATAAAAAGCAGATATGTTTAGAGATGGTTTACTACCTTTAAAAAATAAATATAATTCTAACCAATTAGAGCATGTTAGTCAGGGGAAGAGCGTTGGGTCACGTGATACCTCAATCCGACAATGGCAGAATAAAAAGCTAATTCGATACAGCTGGGCTCATAACCCGGAGATACGTCATCAGGCAATCTAGTCAATTACGAATCGGCATCTTAACGAACAATAGGTCCTCGGATCGAAACAGAGGCATGCTAACCTTTTTTGTGCCTCTTTTTTTTTTCTTTTTCTTTGTGAGAGCTAGCCTCTTGATATTTTATTTTCTTGAATAATAGCCCTCTGTACGTTGTAGTAAGAGGCTGTTTTTTTTTTTTCTTTTGTGAACAATTGACCCAAAATAGCTAGCTTTCCTGCCCGATTATTTTTAACTGTTGCCTACTTGGGATCCTCATGTTGAACTCCCTTGGCTATGGGAATCTGCTAGACAGTCCAATTGCAGTCATTGTTGCACGCGGATAAGATCTTTATCGATAACGAATCATGTGCTATCACGTGTGGGGAGCCCCCCCCACCACCACCAGCGATGACAGCTCCATCAGCATCACCATAAAAGGGTCTTTGTGTTGTTCAGATCAGAATCGGAGTTGCTTCTTAGTTCAGCTTATCAAGTGCCGACTAGGACTAATCCTTGGCCCCTTGATTGCCTAGTCTTTTCCCGATATAAGTCCACTCCAACCGAGGCCTTCCTCGAGACGGGATTCGACAACATGGCGTCCGCATACGTGCCCATTACGGAAGTCCCTACTGTTTCTCTGTTGTACAAGCTGGGTCGTCTGATTCCAGTCTCTGACCCCATATCACAGCCATCAAGAACATTCAATGACATCATCTCCCTTATACGTAATGACATAACCAAACTGCAAGGCGTCGATTGCATTGTCAATGCCGCAAATAGATCCCTCCTTGGAGGTGGCGGTGTGGACGGTGCTATCCATCGCGCGGCCGGCCCCAGTCTCCTACAGGAGTGCCGAGAGTTAGATGGTTGCAGAACCGGCGACGTAAAGATAACATCGGCTTACAATCTCCCGTGCAAGAGGGTCATCCACACCGTCGGGCCTATCTACCAGTACGAATTACGTGGGGGGGATGATCGACCGGAGGCTTTGCTACGGAGCTGCTACCGACGGAGCCTCGAGCTTGCCGTGGAGAACGATATGAAGAGCATCGCATTCTCGGCAATCAGCACCGGCGTGTACGGCTACCCTAGCCACGAAGCTGCTCAGGCTGCTCTCGACGAGACTCGAATGTTCCTAGAGAACCCGAACAATATTGGAAAATTGGAAAGGATCATATTCTGTAACTTTGAACGTAAGGATGAGATTGCGTATGAGGAGTCGATCCCGTAAGTGCTGCTCATGTTTTTCGACCTTCATGGTGTCTCTGACAGGCACTAGCTCGTTCTTTCCTCCGGTGGAGCAGGATATCCCGAGCAGCAGTGGTCAGAAAGTTGAATCTCAATCAACCGCGGACGGTGAGTCTTCGCCGTCGCTAGACTTGCTCGCAGCCAAGCTCCCTGACCCGCCTACCGTGGACCCCACCTTGGACGGCCAGCCGGGAGGCAAGAAACAGAAGGTTAACACAACGGACGGACAGAGCAATAAGTTCCACACAGAGGATAGGAGCGAGGATGACTGGGAGGAAGTCGATAAGTCGGAGGACGGCCGGACTGAGAGACTTGATGATGAACCTGTTGAGGTCAACAGACCACCCTCTGCGGCAGACGTTCAGAGTGTCCAATCCAGTGGCATAATCGACATGACCGATTCTCAGTCAACAGGAAGCTTATTGGGAAAGGACTGGTAACTGTGACCAATGCTTCCTGAACGTTTATGAACGAATGCTTGTGATGAATTGGCGTTGGATGCATACGTACTTAGTTTGAAATGGACGGCGTTACTTCTTTCCTCTCTGCTGCAAATGAGTTCGATACAATACTTTTGATGGAGCATCTTGTCCGTCACGCTTCCACTTTTTACCCCATTATTAACATTTTCTTGACTCCGCAAGAATGTGGAAATCGTTCTTCCATTGTCTACCTCTTGTGTTTCTCAGTATAGCTTCCTATCCTTCCTTGTACCTCAGCAGAGCGAAGTTCATATTACTCTTCTTCTGATATAATCCCCACATCTTCAGTCTTAATCTAAACTGTCCTTTTACGAAAGGCCAAGACATACCATATATCGGACTATACAAACAGAAACACAGGCCATCCGAAGATCGGGCTATCTGGCCATTCCTTATGATATCGTTGATCCTTCCCAGCGCGGCCTTTTATCTCTTCTCCATTGCATACCTACAGCTCCTCGAGAGCCCAGCCGTGAAACCACTCTTCATATCTTGAGTGAAACTCAGTCATTGGACCACCTCTAGCTATCTCCCGTTCAAATGAACTCCATTACACTGTCGAGAACTTACTGAAACTTTACCACCCTTACCCAATATCTGGTCAAACTTCTCCCAAGAAACACCCTATCTTGCCCTTTACCCCCGATAAAGCATCTGCTGGAAAGACCTACGCAGCCTCCCGACCATATCTGGCCGTACAACAGGATCCATGTCCTGTTGTATTTTCCTATTCATAAGTTACCCTCCGTACAGCCTCCTAAATCTTCTCAATCTGACCGCCAACAGTATTACTCTCTTTCCCCGGATCATCACCACCAATCTCCACCCTTGGGTCGCTTGGATACGACAACCCCGCCAGCGAGTCGTAGAGCTCCCACTCCGTGAACCTCTCAAGAAGCAATCACAGCACCGTCATCAGCGCAGAAGCAAGACTCAAATTCACTGCATCCCGAATGGCCGCGTTATCAACCAAAACGGGCTTCTGGATCCGTCCGTAAGATAAAGTGGGTCCCAATTGGCCAGGTCCCGAGGAAGGGTTTCCAAATTCACAACGCCGTTTATTTGATTGGAGTTTTATTGAAGGTTATAAAGGGATGGAAGTAGACGCCTGCGTTGAAGGTATCTAGGAGCTTGGATATGGTCATTGGTCCGAGGGAACGGGGGAAAGTTGAGTAGTGGTGAGGGTGTTGTTGGAGGTTGACGGTGTGCCAGTTTCGGTCTTAGCGATGCTGAAGATAAAATCGATCATTTTAGGGTGGGACTATTGTGGGCAGTGCATTAGGATGGATTTCGGGGCTGTTGGAGTTGGTCATGCGGTTTGGAGGAAGACGCCGGAGCCGTAGGCGATACTGTAGGGGTTTGGGGCGCGGAGTTGCGTGATTATCTATTGTAGGGGATGTTTTAATTCTGGTCGAGGTGGCATTTTAGGAGTTCGCTGATGGGTCGAATTGAGCTAGATATTGTTTAATTTTAATTCTATATCTACTGGGTAGTGGGCCAGAAGATGTTGTAGCTTCGAGAATGGAGAACGTACTATTGTTAGGGCAAACTATGCTGAACCGGGTAACAGTAACCCTAGTCACTACTAGCATAATTGAGTAATAGAACACTCGGAAGAGAACTATGAGACTGAAATGCGCACACGGATAGACATGAAAAATCAGGGAAACGCTTAAAGCCCATTGACACAGAACGCCAGACTAAAGTTCAATCGTATCTGTCGGTCTGGGAAATCCGATGAGTAACTCATCCAGTAATGAGGGGTTGTAAATATCAAGATGTTCCTGGAAATCAGGCAGAGAAGACATCAAGGATTCGCCTTCTACTTCGGCGGAACCTAATTTCTCGACCAAATCGCTGCAACTAGCCAGACAGTTATCTGCAAGATCCCAGCCAAATTTGTCATTGTGTGATCTTAGCATGCTGATCATATCTTTGGCAAGTTTAAGAGGAGCATTGGAGCTTGAGTTCCTCCTAAGACCGCTTCGAAGCAAGAAGGTGGTGGCGGAGGTCAAAGAAAAGGCGTGGACAGGGATCCAAAACCCGCGAAGATGGGACTCATCGAGCTCCTCTACTAGATGAACGATTTCCTCAGCTGCCCGTTGTGCTTGCGTATAGAAGGGAGAGGTAGTGACGTCGCCAACTTGCGTGATACCCGCGTTGAGGTCCAGCTGGATACGCCTGAGAAGAAGCTTGACTGCCAGGTAGGCTAGTCGAAAGTTTGCTGCCCCTGGGGAACTTAGGTGTGTGCCGCGGAGGATAACGCGGCGACTATCATCGCTCAAAGATTCTTCCCAGTCGGTGAGAAGCCGCTCAAGGTCCACGGCAGACGTTTCTGGTGGACAGAATGTGCTCTTGGAGACCTTGTAAACATGCTCTAGATAACGGCCCAGCACTTCCGTCAGTGTTGTTAAAGAGATAAAGATAGAAGCAGCTGCAAGTTGGGAATATGAGGCACTAGGGGAACACAGGTCGTCCATGGTTGGAAAGGGCACGTCGCATTGAGCACCGTGAATTTGAAGGGGGGTTCCGTATGCCAAACTGCACCTGTACCGATGTGTTAGGATACACCACACAAGAAACAGATACTTAGAGAGATGTCCAGTACCAGCGATCATGTATAGCAACCAGCCACCAAATCCGGACTCTGAACTTTTTCTCCACCGGGCGAATATTCCAATTGGATGGATCCCGATTTAAGCCTAGAGCATTGGACAGGGCCACTGCAGTCCCAACCATTCCCCCATTGCCGAATATCGAAGTACTTGGCCTTCCGCAAACGTTCAGAATAATCGCCATCACAGTTGATATTCCGGGGGACAAGAACAGCTCCGAGTGGAGAGCTTCGTTCGCCTGGTTCCAGATAAACCGGATATCAGGAAAGCGATCGGAACGCAAAATGGGCGAATTCTCCCAGTAGATCAGGGCGTTGGCATACAAATTGCAGAGAAGGGCCGGTGAAATATTCTCTTTATGCGTGTAATAGATATTCCGAAAAGACATCTCATCAAATATGGGAAAGCATATATTGGCATGACGAAAGAACCTACAGGTTCCGGGTAAGCAGGCCTTGAACAACCGCGAGTCTAGTTGACTACTCACAGGTCCACCACATCACTGACCACTGGCTCAAGGTATTTTTCAATGAACTCGCACTTTGTAGCCGGAAGAGACTGGTTTGCCGAAACTCCCAATGGTCGTCTAGGAACAGTGTTGAACAACACTGGCCTTACAGGCCGACTCGAGCTCGGATTCGTCCGAATTATACGTCGTCGCCGAGCATCTGGGACGGTGGAGAGGTAGCTTTCCAGGACATCGTTATCTTCGGCAACTGCTGGACTGACTATGTGAGAGCTATCGTCGCCAGGCTCGGTAACAATGCCAACTAGATTGGAGAGAGTTTCCTCCCGGGTATAATTCTCATGATTGGAAGGATACGACATCTCCAGACTCGCTGTGGGTCTGCTAACAACGTGTGAGTCATGCGCCGTTGACGTACTAGCTACATTCACCGGTCGAAAAAGGGCCTGTTGGCTAGGAAGAGAGCTTGCCGTCGAAAATTTGTTCCCTCTTGGTGGACCTGCCGTTCTGGGCGCCTGTCTTGGTCGGGCTGCCAACTTCCGCGGCGAAGCTATGGATCTCCGTTGAAAGCTATCGCCTAGCTGTAGATAGATACAATCGGTACCATGAGCCTGACACATGATGCATATGCCGGACAAATCTCTTGTCCTGCAGCGGGACTTGCGCTTTTTGCAGGGTAGACAAGCGGGATATAGATGAGACCGATACGGTCTGGCTTCGGTGCTGTCTTTCTCATCACGAACAGGATCTCTCTCCATCTGAGCGGGTACTCTATCTTGATCCCGGTAAGTGAAGGTGAGGTTGGAACCTGCAACAATAATCCAAGTGGGGGAGGGGAGACAGGAGGAAAGACTAGGAGTATCGTGGCCCTCCGCGGCAAACCCCGCGGCAAAATCCGTCAACGTTCGTCCACCGGTCGTTTATACACCCACCAGACAGGAGAAGTGCTCTCACCTTTGTTGCCTATCGGGATTGGTCAAGATGATACATCAAGATAGGCCATGTAGAGCCAGCGCTGGGATCTATTTGTGTGATCCGCGGCCAAATCTAGAGTATGCCATAACACTGACTCGCCGTGGAACACCTGACCGCGGCGTGCTCAATACCTAGGATATAAATGAGAAGGCAGTCCAAGAGGGATATCTAATCATTCTTTCTACCCCTCACCTACCGTCTATCTTAGACGATCATCTCTTTCATCGCTCTAAATCTCCAGTTTAACCAAACTATACAAACCATGGCATCGGATACTGCCGCATTCTTCTCCATGGCGGACAAATACTTGATGAGAACGGGCGTTCCCTTATCCTCCGTTATCATCACAAAGGCAAAGGGAACTAGACTTTACGATATCAACAACAGGCAGATCCTTGACTTCACCTCCGGCCAAATGAGTTCCCTGCTGGGACACTCCCATCCGGAAATTGTCGAGGTAGTCCAAAAGTACATCGCAGAGCTCGACCACCTTATAAGCAACATGGTCACGTATCCTGTCGTCGAGCTCGCCGAACGCCTAGCCCGCTTTCTCCCTGGGCCTCTAGAAAAATCCTTCTTCCTAAACACAGGTTCCGAATCTACAGAAGCCGCCATCAAGATCGCCAAATGCTACACGGGCAAATTCGAAATCGTCGCTTTCGCCGCAAGCTACCACGGGTTGACCCAGGGCTCAGGCTCCGCAACCTACTCCACCGGCCGCAAAAGAGGAGGGCCCTGCATGCCAGGCCAGCTTTCCTTCCCAGCACCCTACGCCTATCGCTCTCCTTTCCGCAAACCCGACGGTTCGTATGACTGGGAGACAGAGATGGATTTCGGCTGGTCAATGATTGACCGACAGAGCGTTGGCTCCCTGGCTGCCTTTATCATGGAGCCCATTCTATCCACCGGCGGAATCCTCGATCTTCCAGTGGGATATCTGCAGCGCATGAGTATAGAGTGCAAGAAGCGCGACATGCTGATCATCATGGATGAGGCCCAAACTGGAGTCGGTCGAACCGGCCATATGTTCGCTTTCGAACGAGACGGCATTGTACCTGATATCCTGGCTCTATCTAAGACTCTCGGGTGCGGTCTCCCTCTAGCATCCGTCAGCACAACCGCGGAAATCGACCGCGGGTGCAGAGAAGCCGGTTTTCTGTGGCTCACTACGCATCTTAATGATCCTCTTACTGCTGCAGTGGGGAACAAGGTGCTTGAGATCGTCGAACGAGATAATATCTGCCAGCGCGCTGCGGAGCGCGGTGCGCAGTTGCGTGAGGGACTCCTCAAGTTGCAGGAGAAGTATTGGTGTATTGGGGATATCCGAGGCCGGGGTCTCCTGCAAGGTATCGAAATAATCTCCGATGCTGAAACAAAGGCTCCTGGGCCGGATCTCGGACAGGTAATTTCGGACCGGGCTATGGTGTGCGGTCTTTCTTGTAATATAGTTAATCTTCCGGGTATGGGTGGTGTTTTTCGCTTGGCTCCTCCTGTTACTGTTACGGCTGGGGAGATTGAGAAGGGGTTGAAAATCCTGGATGAGGCTTTTGGTTATGCCTTGAACGAGAAAAGGGTCTAAACTGTCGTGAGAGTTGTCTAAGATTGGAAATAGCCTTTGTACTTACTTGTATGAAGAGGGGTATGCTTAGGACGATACTATCCAAATAGCAAAGATCTAGGTGTATTATGGATAGCTTATAGTAGCTTTAACCGTGAGTACGGCTGATGGTAATCACCAATGCCCCCTATTGCTTTTTTTTTTTTCCTTTTTGTTTTTGTCCTATTCATACTAGCCATTCTGCTAGCCTACTTGATATCGTGTATGGGTTCGAAAGAGCGAAGAGGGAGGGGGGATAGAAGAGGGAAAAAAATACCACAGATATATGATATTAAAACGAGAGGAGGCGCACAACCCTAAATATGCACACCTCTTTCTACAAGGTTATAGATACATAGATACATAGATACATAGATACATAAAATATCAGAAAGGCAGTTGAAGATGATATTCTTATTACGATGTAGCAAGACGCATTAACATTCAACCCAAGCGATCCAAAGTTATACCCTTTTCAAAACTCTCTTCTCCTGGCCAATGCCTAGGAACAGTCCAATGTTTAGAGATGCTCCACCGAGCGCGATGAATTGTACATGTGGAGACCTTTCTCACTGGGATTACCATAGACCCATGTTATCGAAGTACTATCCATGTTTGATCTGATAATCCACAGCTGGTACTGATAATAACCCCATATATATGTGGAAGAGGTATAGACTTGCCTTGGGCTTGGCCGCGCAGGACAAGATAAACAAAATTAAGGTTAAACAATGTAAGCTTGGTCTCTTTTGCCACGGTCAATGCCACTGAGGAAGTTGTTCAACGTGTTTCCGCAACGTTATTCCACCCTTCGATGCAACAAGAGGCCGATGCTCTGCTTGGCGCATCGATATGACCTATGCTGAATCCTACTAGTAGCTTTATGGGCTTTAGGCTTCATCTAATTTCAAATATCATCATAATAAATCCCCTAGGTACTTGACTTCTTAACGAAACTCATGGCAAAATAAAGGCGAAGTGCAGGTTATTCTTAGAAGAAGCCCTATCCGGATACCTACGACTCCTCCGAAGAGTTGGAACGAACCCGAGGGTTTCTGCAATAATTATGTCGCCACAGAGATAGCAACAAGGTTCTTTACACCAGCGAGGGGCATTTATGGACAGCTAAGGAATCTGCTCTCTGATAATTTACCTATACGTTATGGACAAAATAGGTATTACTCAGCATACATTGCTTACGCATTTATTCAATTTATGAACATAAGGCAAACACTGCAAACAATAGCTCACCTCCGATATCACCGTGAGATAGCACGATATACAAGCCTCAACTTTATAAATTGCTCTCCAGCTCTACCCAAATCGACCATTGAACAGCTCATCATAAAAAGCGCAATCGAAGCCTGCAACCAATCTCGCCATACCATCCCTCTCCGCAACTTCAATGGTCCCGTAACATTAACACGCGACACCAACAAAAGATCCGACCCTGATGCCGATAAAACTAAACTCATCACGAAAGGCCCCGGGCCCCAGGATCCAGATCCTTACACCCGACGTCGCAAAAGCGCGATCATCATCCCCACCAACACCAACACCCTCACCTGCCCCGTCTCCATCCACCCAACCCTCCCCCAAGCCACCTCGCAAACCATTCTCCTTCTTCTCGCACTTTCGAAGTCGCTGCGCGACGCTCCCCGTTCCTCTACGTAGAGGCTTCCGTATTTTTCGCATTTTAGCGCCCATCCTCCCGATTGGACTCTTCTTCTCCGAGCATGTCCTTGGGGTCATGTGGGTTAGCGGGCCGTCAATGACGCCCTACCTCAATGAGGATTATGACCTGATGCACACGAAGCGCGATATGGTACTTGTGAACATGTGGCCGTGGGGTGGAGCGGGTTGGCCCTGGGAGCGGACGAGGAGGTTAGAGAGGGGGATGATTGTTACCTTTCGGTACGTTTTATTCTTCGTTCTTGGAAGTGGCGAAGCTGGACTGGTGTTCTTTCCAGAAGTGTTGGGGGACTATTTACTGACGATGCGCATCTCTGTTTAGGTCGCCGGCTAATCCGGGCCATATTGCTATCAAACGTGTGGTTGGGCTTCCTGGGGATCGGATTACGACTCGGGAACCGTGTATGAAACCCTCGCAGATCGTGCCTTTTAATCATGTTTGGTTGGAAGGTGATGCGGAGGATCCAAAGAGGTCACTTGATAGTAATACTTATGGGCCTGTGAGTATTAGTCTGATTACAGGTAGGGTGATGGCTGTGACATGGCCGCGGTTTAGGTTGCTAAAATGGTCGGACTGGGAGAAGGGGCTTGTCGAGGGTGATGATGAGCGCAGGTTAGGGGATAATTATCGGCAGGAGGTAAGAGACCGTGTATCGAAAGAGGCCGTTAAGTTGGAACGGCCTATCTTGTCATAAAATTTTCCAACTTGGTTGCCATAGTAGTTAATTTGTACTGTACATAAGGCTCACTATTAAAATGCAGGTATGAATGTGTAAAAGGTGGGAAAAACTAGGGCGACGAGCGTAAGAAGCACATGATGGAGTCAAGTAGAAGACCCGAAATAGCGGGTTCAAGATGAAATACATCCAGGGAACTCAGGTATCTGGATGTCTCAGCTAATCTCCGTTTGTTGAGATTACTCGAACATCCTCCTGTTTGCTTTCTTGCAAACGGTCAATCTCAGATGCGATGCTCATAACCCAGCGATCTCTATCTATCCGACTGCGTGCTTTGAACACTGCAGTTCGCCCGTGGACACCCAGCTTGGAAACTTGCTTCAATGTCTGTTTGGTTTGACCTTTCTCTCCTTTCTCTAGTGCTCGAAACAGATTCTTGCGCAAAGGTTGCCAAACAACAAACGTAATAGCTATGTCCTCATCGCTACTCGTGTATGCGTCCGTAGAAAGATACACCCGAGGAAGGGCGCGATGGCTTGGGCGATTACTATCGAAGGTTTGATTGGTGTAGAGCAGATCAGACTCTGTCAACAGCCCCGAGTAAACGTAGCAGTCGCTCAGGTCTACAGTTGCTTCAAGACTAGAATGAACATGAGGTATTTCGACACCGTTACACTTCCTTAATGAGCTCCGGAAAATCAACAGTTTCCCATCAGTGAGGACAACATCACATCGTTTGAAGGTTGAGTGCCGACGCGGCTTCCGAAAGAGCTGGCCGGACATCTTGGAAAGGTCAGCATCATTGACTGGGAAACAAGCATCTATGTGACCTACCTTAATTGCCCGGCATCCAGACACAGCACACATATTGTGCAATAATGGAGATGCTTCTGCCCTCCTAACCTCCCACTTTTTGGCAAATTGTCCTACCACGGACTCCATTTCCTCGTCAATATCCAAAATTTCTAAGTTGCGCCGCCTCAAGGCTTTGAGTTCTGCCATGTCGGCTGCACACCGTGCTTTCCAGTACCTCACAAGGGCATCAAGTCTCTTTATCCATTCATTCTTGGTTCCCTTGTCGTACGCCTGAAACCGAACAACGAGGTCATTATCTAGAAGCATTTCAAATGTCCTATCGTCGTCGAACTCCTGGGTTGCGCCATCATCCCGGTGTGTATCTCTCGTTTCAGGATTGAATTCAACAGCTGGGCCTTCTCCGATATTTGGGTCAGCAGGGCAACTGTCACGCTGCACATCTCGCACTTCCTGCACGCGGCAGATGTCGATATGGCCATCAGCATTGGTCAGGTTGTGGAGGTTCCTACGCAACTGCGCAAATGCTTCCTCGTCGTGCCTCTTTATATGCTCCTTATTACCACTTGAGAGCCACGTTATCTCCCCATCTTGTATTGGAAACGGGTTGACATCATATGAATGTGGCATTTCGTTCAAAATTTCTTGCGTTGATGGGACATTAGAATCATTTACACAAAGTCTCGGAGGAGCCGGTGGCAAGGACTTTGCTGGTCTGCAGAAAAACAAATAATGGTCCTGGGTGAAACAGTATAGGCGCTTGAAGAACATTTTGTTCATACGTTGATGAACACCTCTTTGCGATGTAAGGCGAATTAGAAAGCCCTCCACTGGTTCCGGTTCTTCTTCTTTCTTGTCTTCATCATGCACATGTGTGCAGTAATGTTGTCTTGGTCGTAGCTCCAGGTCATGAGTCCTCTGCATCGCAAGAGACCCATACATTCTTTCCTCGTTGATGCCATATACCCATTCTAATCGGTCATATCTCTTCCAAACAAGACCCATTTTCTCAATTTTGGACCACCTATGCAATACCTCAGTCCATTCAGGGCGCTTATCTAACAATTCAACGCAGTCACGTATAATGTTCTTTGCGACAGATTCTCTCGCCGTTGAAGAGCCAGTAAGTATCCCACTTCTCTCTTTCGACTCAGGTTGCGTTTCCAACTGCTCGAACGGGTTTTTAAATGTAAGCGATACCCCAAGATCTGGTACGTTAATTGAAAGTGAAGACGCCCGGCGCCTTCCTAAGGCATATCCCAGAGATGTGTACCATTCAACAGCATGCGTCGTAGATTTGGGTCGTATGATATAAATCTTGGTTCCATGCCTGCAAGGACGCCAGATGACAATGGTTTTGTCCAAAGAAGAGAACAGGTTCAGCTTCGTCTTCTTGCGTGCTAAAGGAATATCATAGTAAGGCTTCGCCCTAGTGTTGTGTCTCTGCACCTCGGGGATAACACGCGTCTTGTACATCTGGAGGGTAAATGGCGCATCCTCATCGGACGTCGCTCGAAAAACTACCAAGAATTCTCGCCAATTATCCGCAACCCTGGTTTCCATCCTCCAACTGTCATTTTCGGCATAGTCTTCAGGAAGTTCGTGTACCGTCTCCTCAAGTCGGACGAGCATTCTTTCAGCCTTTACAATCTCGCCTGCTTTTACCTTCCGTCGGCGGGACAAAGTTCCAGAAACCATATCATGTGTCTTTGATATACGTGACCGGAGCCGTTGTCGTCTATCTAGAAGATTATCATTGTATTTAATAGCTCGCTTGTGGAAACGAAGCCTTTCATCGCCAAGGTGCTCTTCTCCAGCACTCTCAACTTCCTGAGGCTCAAGGTCCGATGTTGACGGCGCTCGAGAAAGCTTTCCTTTACCTTTAAGCCTTGACCTATGTCTTAGTAACGGGGTTGTGGATCCAAGTTCACTTTGAGATGCCATGGGGCTTGACTGATTGGCCTCAAATTGACTGGGGTTCCTTGACGTTGGCTTTCCCAGGGGTCGAATGGTCTCCCCACTGCTGTGGTCGCTCAATGGCTGCTGCATGCTATCTGTGCTTGGAGCAATCTCCCTTGCTGTCATGTAAGATTGCGCATCTGTTGCTGTGCTAGCTAAAGTCTGATTATGCTTGTCCGGGACTAAACTTGAGGGACGAGGTGTGTCGGAGCCAGAGGAAGGGGAAGAGGAAGTGGGCCCTCTATTAGTTTCTCCCAGTGGTTCACTCAGAGTTCTGAGGGCCCTATATCTATCCCCCCGCTCACTCAAGTCCTCGTCTGTTTGTTCACCTTCCGGGGTATCCTCTAGTTCATCGTTCTTTGTCTGTTCTATAGCAGACGGCTGGTTTCGCTCCGGGTCCTGTGTGGACTGCGCAATACCGGATTCCGCCGAGAATGTAACAATTTTAGAGGAGTAATTCTTGAACTTAAGCCGTGACTTATACCAAGATTTGCGGTGGTTTTGCAACCAGCCTTTGGGAATTGGCCCGATGAAAAACCGTCTGCTCGTTACGTGCACATGGTTGGCAGAAGCATAACGCTGTAACGTTGATCAGCATTCCTAACAATGTATCGGACGATAGATCCCTTACCAGCTTTTCAGCTGTATAGAATTCTGGTTCCAAGCCATGATGGTGGTCATCAAATGCAGTGTGTAGATCAGCGTCCATTGTGTCGCCGACATACTGATCTAGTGGGGAAGGAGTGCTCATTGCACGTTCCAATAATTACCAGATTGTAAGAAAGAAAAATGAGGCTTTATAATCCATTAATGAACTTAGGCGATATTAGCCCCGGACCTATAAAGATCCACAAAGGGGATATGCCATCAGGAACCGATCGATCAGTGCCGCTACAGTTGGGTTCGGACGATGACGTCGTTGTTCTTTAGCCTTGGTCACAAGTTTGCTCTGTTTGTTCGGTTTGCTTTATTTGCAGGGACAAATCAGGGGGTCTCGGGTCTGGACCCGCTGATTGGCCTCGCCGCTTGCGTGGCCATTGTCCCGCTAACAGCGGTGTGACAGCTAAACATAACAGTTGGAGTGCCCCTCAAACTCTCTCTCTTTCTTTTCTATCTGCTCTACTGCATTGTTTCTTCCTTCTATCATTCGAACTCCGTACTTCACAATTCAAGATGTCTACTCAAACCTGGTTTGATAGCCTTAAGAGGTCCTTCGCTGATGTTCCCGTTAACGGAGACAACTCCATCTCTACCACCGAGTTCCTCGAAGCCTCCGAATCCCTCTCTACTTTGTTCGGTACGAGATCGGAATGACTTGACCATGGAAATTGTTCATATCTGATAATATCTAGATGTTCTCGGCTCCAAGGCTTTCGTTCCAGTCAAGAGCGATCTCCTTGGCAACGTTAAGGTCAGGAAATCTTTACCCCGCGTTTAACTCCATTTTAAGAGCTGACTCTGGTATAGAAACTCAAAGACCGGCAGCTGGCTGCTCCTACTGAGTCCGAGACTGTCCAGGCTCTCTCTGTGAATGAGCTAAAGACTAAGAAGCACACTGCCTCCGAGGGTCTGCTCTGGCTTGTCAGGTATGAAACAATTGTTACTCTCAACTCCTTTAGGGGTTATTAGGAGTCGAATCGTCCCCACTTTTAAATGTTCCGAATATATGACATGGTTATAATTGTGCAATTGGCTGATCAAATTGACTCACATTAGGGGCCTTGACTTCACTGCCCAATCCCTCCGGCGTCACATCGACAACACGTCCGAGAAGCTCTCCGACTCCTTCCGTGGAGCCTACGGTGTCACCCTCAGCAAGCACCACGGCTGGGCCATGAAGCCGGTCTTCAACTTGGCCATGGGCGCTGCTCCTGACAATGAGTCCTTCTACAAGTCCCTTGCCTCCGTCCCGGCCAGTGGTTCTGTCCCCGACGATATCAAAGCGAAGATCAAGGAACAGTTGACCCGTGAGGTGAACGCTCTGGAGAACATCGTTTCCATTCTGCAGAAGTTCCAGGAACAGCCCGATGCTAAGTGGTAAAGCTGAGGCTGGGAAACAGTGTTGACTACATTCATCCACAACCCATTTTCTAGTGCATAATATCCCATCGCATGATGCTATAAACATGTATATAGGTGGCTATACATACCTGATTTCAAAAGCGAGCAGGACTTCAATTCAGGATACAGTTGCCTTGTGAAACAGCTCATCATATTATTCTCAATCATTATACTATTGTACATACTATTCTGGCCGTCTTTGACTCGACCACTCATCTCTAACTTAGAGAACTGGGACTTAGAACGCCTTCCACCTGCGTAGATGCCATCAAGACAGAGCCCTAATGCTTTAGTATCGGTTTCGCATACCCTTTTAGTGTATTAGAGCCTATATTCACAAACCACTACAGTATCTAAGTACAGATACTGTACAGAATCCATACTAGAGCTCTCTAATAGGGATGATACTACATGATCTAGCCATGAAAACAGCAGTCATAGATCAAAGATTTAACCGCCCTCAATTGTCCATAATTCGAGCATCTTTGGGGTTGCGTGACGAATAGGTGTGGCTCGATCTCTGCGAAGATCAAACGTTGGGTTTAATAGAGTTTCTGCTTAGCTTTTACATTACAATTTGTCCTTGTAGAACTGTCAGCAGTTGTCTTGCGGGTATGAAAAAGAGGTAACATCATCGATGAGCCGCATTCCGATATTTACTAGGAGCTCAACGTAGAGAATAGTTGTAGGTTGCAGGTAGAGCTAAGCATTGAGGAGAGGAGAAAACGTAGACGGGAATGTAACATAGTAACCCTTTTTCTTCTCAAGATAGACCCTAGGTACGTTGGCAGCCGTCAATATCTCGGATTGTACCGACGCACTGTAAGCTGGTTTCGGATAGATGATTGAACACTATTTACTTTCTCTTGGCTAAAATTATTTCTCGGATTTTGACAGCTTGGCACGTTTCATGGGGAGCATATCGTTAATCGGCCAATAACCAGGAAAAGATCGCCAGCCTTATGCATCTCAACACAGATCTCCATACAATGTCTGCGTCAAAGTGAGATAGCATGAAACATCTGCATAAAACGTGCACTGTCTAGGGTAAGGTGAGCTAAGCTAGTCTTCAATAGTATCTTCATCGGAGTGCTCCAAGGATGTCTTGCCGATTCGAATACCGAAACACGGCTTTGCTCTGCTGTATAAGGTTAGCCTCACGCGATAGCTTACTCTGTACGGAGTATTATATAACTACATATTGGGTTTGGATCAGCATTCCAGAATTTCATTGACACAGTATCGTCACCAAGCAAAGTTATCAACATGCTCTAGTACATCACTCCGCGGAAAAGGTGCCCAAATCGACCACCCCCGCTGCGGCAGTTGCACGGCGTTGGAGAAGCTAAAGAAAAAGGGGGACAGAAGCCGTTCCCAGCAGTGGATTTGCACTAAATATTCCCCGGAATAGCATAACTGATATGCAGCTTACATGATAGTTGAAACAAACTGCCGCAGCTTTAAAACGAATCAGGGAAAATCTCTCGCCAAACATAGCGAATGGCGATACTACTTGGCAGGTCGCTAATATCTTTGGAGTCTTTGGTAGGCTCTAGCATAAAGACCTATTCGAGCATGCGATTGCATCTAAGGGTGCTAACAGAGCATTCATTAGATGCACCGGGTAGGGTGCACAGGTGCTAAGGTGATTTGGCAGTGTTTAGGGCTCACTATTCTGCGCACCTCCTCTGATCCAGCCGTAATAGCACTGAGTGATACGCAAAAGGGAAGCAGGCAAAAGAATCAGTTGAAGACAAAATACCAACCCCATCGGCAAAGCAAATTAATTAATGTGGATTAACTGGATGCCACCAACTGTGGGGTGCCCTAGAATCTGGGCACTACCAACTTAGGGCTAAGCTGCTAACACCCAACTTGGTCGAACTCCAGTTATGGATACCTTGAATGTAACCTATTGCTCTGGTTTCACTTTGGGGGCAGTAGTAAATCGTAACAGTGTAGGTTGTCAGCCTTCATGGTTTAAGAGAATAGGTGTGTGTGTTTAGTATTTACTTTCAGGGCACTCGAGTAAAAGCGCTCCTGGTAAACCCTCATCCTGGAGAGTAAAACAAGGTTCTGAGAATAGTCTAGAATACTATTGATCCTGACGATGTACTTAGCGATGGCGATTGACGCACTGGGAGCTGAAAGGGGACAGGCAGTTCATGGTAGATCACCGGGCTCCATATGCTAATCCAAATAATGAGAGGGTGTTTGGAAGCCATCGCTTAGGCAAACTTGCTTCCAGTCATAAACTCATGCTGATCTAAGATAGGATGAAATTGGGAACTTGTTTTCGATCTAGATCTCTGATCAGCAAGCACCCTTTGAGGCTAGAGTATGAATAGTGGTGCTCAATCCTCGTATTTGACCTGGGAAAACGCATGTGATGATGATCCCTCAGAGTAAGAAAAAGGGAAGTTAACTTATTTTCTCCATGAGTTAAATGTTCCTGGCATTCTTAACTAGCCCAGTAAAACGGATATTAATTGAGATCATTGCTAGTATTTTACGGGAACCATGGTATAGGATCCCGAACCATGGGTGACTCGCATGGGCCTGGAATTGCCATACCTAGTTAACACGAGGGGAAAGAAAAGGAAAAGACAACGATTGATTCGGTGAATCTTGTTTTCTGGAGTGCAATTAGCCTCTCTTGGCATATACTACAGTCTATTGACTCCTTAGGTAATTTTAGTACATAAGAATTCTTCGTGGCCAATGATGAAACATGTGACTTACTGTCTAACGGAGTAGGGTTCCCATTTTTACTATTTTTTATGGCAAGTGTATTCCTTTGATAATGCTTCTTTCTGCGTTGAATATAAGTTCTGCCCGGGGGAGAAAAGAAAATTTAAAAATAAAATTAAGATAAAATAAAATAGAATTAAATAAAAGGAGAGAGAAGAAAAGGGTAAAATTTCCAGGCAGAGAGATTCCCGACGAACTGTTAGACAATTTTATTGAATCTATCTATGTGCTTCCTCTTTCCGCCGGGCCAGTGCGGACATTACGGCGGCGATGCCTCCGCACCAGTCCGTGTTTTTGCCTCCACTGATGAACCTTTTCACCTTCGATGTTAGGTAATTATAACCCGTCCGTGTCATGATCTCTCCACCTATCTGTCCTATCGTTGGAACTGGAAATCCACTGTTTCTACTATCGTCCTAGATAGAATCTTACATTGTATTTCCCACTTTCTAGTCTTCACGATTGTACTGTACTGTACTATACTATATAATTTTTGCCCTTCGTGTGTTAGGGCAACAAAGCCATTGACTAGATTAACCAGTACTAAGATCAATAGACCACTGCAGCCGAGGTCATCCTTGTTAGTACCTCCGCACATGTCCTTGTTCAGCAGCCTCGCTTCCCAATAGCGTCCGCTGAACCCGGCTATAAGGCACGTTAAACTTCTACTACTGCTTCTCTAGTCCCCTAAAAAAAGGAAAATAACAATGCCACTACCCCCACCCATCCACGAGTGGCACATGGAGTTGGCTCCAGCCCGGCACTTTCGATGCAACTAACTGACTGGGGGTCGCTTCTCACTGTGAAAATGTAACTGTCAAAGCGTAATTTTCTTTTTTAGCGCAGAATTCCAGTTTCGATCTGCCCCCTATAATGTTGAATATCCCACAGTTAGAAGACCCTGTTAGATCATACCTAGAATTACGTCGAATTTTCCGCTCCTCCTGGGGGATCATGTCCTTGGATCTCTATATTATGAATCCTACTTGATCGAGTCAAGCCTACGCTTCACCATGGTAGAATTCAAGGGCCGTAGCGAACAAATCTTTGTCGTCACCATTATCTTTCTGGGAATTTCGTTCATCTCCGTCTGTCTACGATGTTTTGTCCGGTTGAGGCTAGTGAGAGCCTTCGGGTGGGATGACACTCTGATGGTGTTCGCAATGGTATGTTAATAGTTCATTCCACTGGCAGGCATCGTGAGGGTTGCAGTAAGCTAATCATGGGTATACCCCACTGACAGGCACTGAATATATTGTTCGCATTATGCGGGATAACAGGAGCGTGTTATGGCATAGGTCGAAAGCGTAAGGACCTCGAGGAGGATCATATTGAGGCCGCATTGTTTGTGCGTGTGATCCCAGCTTGAAGGCTTGGTTCTTTGGCTTACGTGCTCGAGACAGTGGTGGTGGCTCGGTCAGACAAGCTATGTCTTCACCTGCGTGGTCGCCAAGGTTTCTATCGCACTGGCACTCCTTCGTCTCACAGTCGCCAAGCTCCACTCGATACTTCTCTGGGTCGTCATTGCCATCTCGATTATCGTGGGGCTTGTGTTTTGGTTCATGTTGACGCTGCAATGTCAACCGGTGTCGCATTTCTGGCAGCGAACCAAGCCTGGAACTTGTATGGATACAGGCTCCCTCGTTAATATCGCCTACGTTTACAGCGTCTTTGCCACGATCTGTGACTTTATTCTGGGTCTGCTACCCATCGCCCTGGTGTGGAACCTGCAAATGAATACGAAGACAAAGGCTGCTTTGGCCGGTATCCTCAGCTTAGGTTGCATGTAAGAGGCCCCCCCC